TAAAATTCTAAAACAAGGTGTACAAATAGAATCAGTTGCCGCCTACGGTTAGTTAACAATTAAATATGGACAACACATAGCTATTGAATAACTTTCTTCCATCCGTGACAGATAACAATGTCATCCTTGGCACCCGTAGTGGTCAACTTATCATGTACTCCGTTGGCGAGAACGGTGCTGTGGATATGGTAATGTTTAATAAAAACTTCAGCAAAAAAGCCATTGTACAGATGGAGGTCATACCAGCAGAACGTCTGCTTTTTGTGCTAACCGACAATGTAGTACATGTTTGTGATATTAGTCAAGTGGGCAGTAATTTTACGTTTATACATAGTGCCATGGCGACAAAAGGGTGTACACTCTTTGCTTTGGACGTGAAGGTTGGTAGCTGCGTTAATATGCAAGAAGCATTCGCTCGAAATTCTATTAACATAAAAAATATTTTAGCCTACCAAATTACCAAATGGCGAGATGACAACTGTTATTGGCATATGCTGTGCGATAAAGCGTCAACTACAATTCTTTTATTGGAAACAGGACAAGTTAAATACGTTTAGCTACAGTATTGAACTAAAAGATGTGCCGAAAGCACTTTGCTGGGTAGACGACGCTGTTTGTATTGGATTCAAGGATGAATACGTCATATACAATGTAAGCGTATATTTACCTATAAGCTAAAAAAGTATTAGAATATAATAATATTTTCACAGATGCTCGCAAGTAAGCCCGAAAAATATGATTTGATAGTGACTTCGTCATCACACAATATGGATCCCTGTATTTGCCTTATAAAACACAAAATGTTGGGAGTGTCTAAAGACAAATATCTTGTACCAATTGATCCTAGTGAGTATGTTAAAACACCTGATGAAAAGCTAAAGCTACACGGTGCAATGGAGGGAGCAGTTGGTAACACCGAAGTTAAAAACAAGCCTAAGTTAATGTTGTGGAGTAGTCCCTTGCTCGATATAGGTATTTTTACCACTACTGGAATTCCGTATAAAAATTAACTATGTTTAATTATTTTAAGTTTGGGATGAACCGTATGTGATCGGTCGCGTTGCAAGTGGTATTGAAGTGCGCAGTATAGATTCCGGTAGCATTAATAAAGACACGCTGGTTCAAACCATTCCCGAGTTAAATAAAACCAAATTCTTAGTGCGCTCTTGCAAAGGTACAATATTTGCGGCAGCCATTTCTGAATTGTGGTGTATACGTATGGTAGAAGTGCCTACGCAGCGTAAGATTTTGCTACAACAAAAGAAATTTCAATTGGCAATTGGTTTGACGGTAATAAAGCTTCTTTATATACATTCAAATTTATTAATGTGTAAAGAAATATATGTATTTCCATGTAGAATATATCTGAGGAACCAGATGATATCAAGGCAGCCACAATACGTGAAATACACATGCGTTATGCGCGCGAGCTATTCTGTAACAAGCAGTTTAGCGATGCAATGAAGGAATTCGAAAAGGCTGCAGCTGATCCATATGATGTTATACGGCTTTTTCCAAATTTGCTACAAGATCAGGCACACAAGTCGACTGAAGTAGCCGTGCCTGCACCACCTACGCCACAATTAGAGGAAAAAGAAATGGAAAATGCTTTGTTAGCTTTAATAGAATTTTTGGCATTAGCGCGTCAAAAAGAAGTGGTTAAGCTGCGTGACACCAAAAGTACATCCAAATCATTATTATCCATCATCGATACAACGTTATTGAAATGCTATTTACAGGCTAGTTCTTCTAAAATTAAAGGTTCTAATATTCCTAAACCAAGGACATTTATTTTGTTACAGACTAATGATTCTCTAGTTGCACCTTTACTACGCTTGAATCAATGTCATTTGGAAGAGTCGGAAAAGACATTAAAAAAACACGACAAAATATCGGAGTTGATTATACTATATCAAATGAATGGCAAACACAAGAAAGCTTTAGAACTGTTAAAAGCTCAAGCTTCAGTTGAAGGATCGAGTCTGCACGGTTACGATCGTACAATTAAATATTTGCAACAGCTGGGTAGTCCGCAATTGTCACTAATTTTTGAATTTTGTGACTGGGTGTTGACGGAAGCACCCGAAGAAGGCCTGCGTATTTTTACGGATAATTTTATTGAGGTGGAAAACTTGCCACGTGCTAGTGTACTCGATTTCTTACTTAGCCGCCATAAGGCCTTAGTCATACCTTATTTGGAACATGTTATTAATATATGGAAAGACAACAATACCTTAATGCACAATGTATTAGTAAAACAATATCGCGAAAAAGTGCACAACTTGCTCGAAGATGTAAAGAAAGCTGAAGCGACAGAAAAAAGGTTTGTTTTACTTTATTTAAACCTTTACATAATAGTTTAATGTCAAAAAAAATATTTGTATTTATTTCTACAAGGGATGCGTTAGAAAATTTGCAGAAATACCGTGAAAAGTTGTGTGAATTTTTGAAGACTTCGCAAAACTATTCACCAGAAGTAGTACTGAAAGATTTCCCTACAAATGAACTGCTTGAAGAGCGTGTATTGATCCTAGGACGCCTGAAAGAACATGAAAAAGTATTGGCGATATATGTGCAAGTGCTTGGTGATGTACCTAAGGCTGCAGAATATTGTGAAGCAAATTATAAGGACGACAAAAACATTTTCGTCACACTCCTAAAGACATTATTAAATCCGGCTCGACAACCTCCGTATGAAAATGTTGAGCTACATCCAGATTTTTTACGCCCCAACCAGGGCATCATATTGGATTTGCTAAATAAATATGCAGAAAAAATTGATCCGTACGTAATCATACCGGTAAATAATTTTAGTCACTATCGTAAAAAACACATAATTACTTTGTATTTATTGTAAACAGTTATTGCCTGATGATATGCCAGCAGAGCCCCTATGGAATTACCTAGAAATTGTATTGCGAGCTGAAATCGCTGAAGAACATGAAAGAGAGGTAATGATTGGACTGCTCAAAGCTGAAATTAAACGTGTGAGGGAAGAAATACGCGCCGAGGAGAGTAAATACGTTGTGCTAACGGAGTTCACAGTATGTCCACTTTGTAAGAAGCGATTCACAAATCCACCCTCTTTCGTACGGTATCCCAATGGAGAAGTGGTACATTTATCTTGTCACGCTAAGTACGCTCAGTCTAGCTCGACATCTAGTAGTTAGAAATTTAGAACATTAAATTATTAATATTATATATATATATATATATATATATATATATATAGTTCAATTTACCGATTTCGTTTATATTCACTTTAATACGTTTCCAAGTATGGACAACTTCTGAATATTAGTTAGTTACATTAAAGAGGTGTTTTAGCAGTACCAGCAAATATTAACACTGTTGATTAATAAATAAAAAGTATAATGCCCACCTAATCGCAATCTGGGTGCAAATCTTTTATGGAAACATTTTATTCTGTTATAATAACAATAAAATACAAAAGTATAAATAAAATATAAACAGTGGGTTTCGCCTAAAACTTTATAATAAAAAATATTTTTTCAAAATGCATGTTACTTAAAATCTTGATTCAAATCTTCACTTCCATTCCTGCGGTAATAATTTCTCATAATCAATGTTTGGAACCTGGAGTCTATCCAATTGACAAGGCAACGGTTGTGGACTCTTATCGTGGATTAAGTTTCTTATAAGATAAACGACTTCTAAGCTTAGTAGATTCTCTCCAAAATCAAATACTTTGTTTAATAAAACTTCCAAATGTGTTTCCCATACGCCGCGCAGTTGTTGTTTCATTGCATCGATGGTCGTTGTTGGCACGCATTGAACCATATTCGATAATACACGAATAGCATATACGATCCGCAGGCGATTAGCTATGCTTCCGAAATCTGGAGTTGAGTACAGATTGCCCAAAATAAAATCCATTAAATGATGAGTTTGTTCAATATTAAATTCGTTCCTAGGATTCACTATATCAGCATGAAATATAATTTTTAAGTGATATTCAGCGGCCACGCTATTACGGCATTTTTTTATCATATTATCTTTGATAAAAGTTATGTCCTCTTGACGAGCTGCGCGATTTTTGCCCATGACCAAAATTTGTAAACAAACAGCTGCGTCGTCCCTAAATTCATTTGCTATATTTTTTTCACCGGCATCATCTAAATATATATAAAATAGTTTAGGTACTATATTCATTTGTACTATGGTTTGCGCTGCTTTTGGACTGGTAGAAATAGTATTGGCAATTATCCACAGAGATGTCCGTTTTAAGCGTTCATCAGGACTATCCAGACATTGAACTAAATTACGTCCACCCTGATGTATAATTTTTTCACAAACCGGAGCCTCACCAAGTGATAGGTTACAAAGACATTCTAGTGCGCCGACTTGGCATCCTGAATCGAGGCCTATTAACAATGCAATTTACAGTACAATGTTAAATGTATAAAAATATAACAGTTAACCAACCAATAATTTCTTTTCCAATAACTTGTAAAGCACCAGGCGCTTCGAAGAACAAGTTTATATTATCCATACTCTGAAGAAACGCTTCACTCAGTTTATGCATCTCCTCCGCGGAAGCATGTTTCCGACGTGTAATTCTCGTTATTAGGCCATTGATATCTTGTTCTGTAAGTTCGTCTAGTTCTTCCACTTCTTCCTGAACTTCTCCCAGCCCAAACCGTATGGTGTCTATGGTCTTGGCGCGCTGGTCTTCCCGATGTTGTTGAGCAACTTGTCTATTCCTATCGCGTATATCCTGTGTAGGTGACCGGGAAGTTGATGTCAAAGTTTTTGGCTCATCAGGATCTACTTCCATTTTTTTTTTTTTTTTTTTTTAATTTTTTAAGCAGAGAAATTAAATAATTAATTTTCGTTTTACCGTTACTTTTTGTAACATATCTATTTTGCCGCTATCATAAAACCGGTGCCATATAAGCAAAAACAAAGAAGTAAAAATAAGTGTAGGCAACCCTATAAATAATAGAACAGCTGAAAGTGACATATAATTTTACGCTGTGCTTGTGGTTCTAGGAGATTACTGCTTATCGAATCATTGCTTACTTTTTACTTTGTATATTTATAAATTAAAGTAAAACACAATGTCTTTTACTATAATGCAAAAGTTATCACTGCTTAGCTTGAAAGCGGATCAACCCTTAATAAGTAAGAATTTCGTTTACTACAATTAAAAGTGCCTAACAAATTCTCTGCGTTTATATGACAGCAACCATACGTAACGCCAGCAAAAAGACCGGGGGCAGTACTCGTAATAAAAAAGGACACCCCAGGCCAAAACATCGAGGTTGGCGTGTCCAAGACGGACATTGGGTTTCTCAGGGCACTTTACTCGCAACACAATTAACAACTCGTTTTCATCCAGGGATGAACGTATGCTAAAATTAAAAAAAAAAAACACACATCTATGTATAGATATATTAACAACTCTTCTGCAGGTTGGTTTTGGTAGAAATGGAACGCTCTACGCAATGGAGCACGGTCGAGTATACGTTACATGTGAGCAGTTGGATCCGAATTGGGATCACACTTGGGTGCAAAGAAACTACGCTGGCCGCGAGGGACAAACGATATATAAGAAGTTTTTCAATGTTATTCCAGAACCTCAACACCAACGCTTTCGGTTAATTGATGAAGTTTAAAGATTTTGTTAAATATGTCGTATTAATATCATAATAAAAAAAAACTATAGAAACAAATTAAGATAAAATGTAATGATTTTATTAGTATAACAGTAGTTATATTAGGAGCTTATAAACTAATATTTTTAAATTTTAAGGAGTTTATTAAAAAATTTTATTCCATTTTATATATAATATCTAGAATATTCTACTCTATTTGCAGGGAATGTTGGTTCATGTTATATATATTTTTTAATACCTATTAGAAACTATATTAATAATATATGATGTATCTAATTAGTAAAAAATTTTTTGCTTTATTCAGGGAATCATAATAAACCAAATATTATTGGAAATAATTAACCTAATTACTTAAAAGAGGTATAAGCAACCCTGTAAGCGGAAATAATTTAGCGCACTAATTGGGCTTTAACATAATGACAGCCAACATCGGCAGCCAACTTAACTTATTCCTTTCTTTCGTTCTTTCGTAAAGTTTCAAGATGGTGAGTGGACGTCGCAGTGGGCTTGGCTGTCATAATTAATATATATATTTGATAAAAAAGATGCATTCAACAGAGCTAAGTTTCAAAATAAAAAGATTTTATATATACATGGTGTAAGAAATGAGAACGGAACAAATTTTATGTTGAATGTGTTTATTTAACCTCAAAATGAAATTGTGACAGCCAATGTAAACTTTGCCGATGTATATTACAAACCAAACACGTGTGCCCTGAAAATAAATAGTTATTAAAAATGTATATTTGTAGTCGAACATCAAAAGGAAGAAGACCAGAAAGCTGCGTGGTCATGTGAGCCATGGTCATGGTCGTATTGGCAAACACCGTAAGCATCCTGGTGGTCGCGGTAATGCTGGTGGTATGCACCATCACCGTATCAACTTCGACAAATACCATCCTGGCTACTTCGGCAAAGTTGGCATGAGAAACTTCCACTTGCGTCGGCAACACAAATTCTGCCCAACAATCAATTTGGACAAATTGTGGTCTCTGGTCGGTGCTGATAAATTAGAGGAATTGCAAAAAGAGAAGAGCAACAAAGCCCCTGTTGTTGATTTGGTGCAATTCGTAAGTTTTTTTTTTTTTTTTGTTTATTATTAAAGTAAATTGTACTTTAATTTCTGTTTAAAATGAAGATACATTCTAAGGCGTCGGGCGGACTGAATGCGACCGTACAATTGCTCTCCCCATGTAGCGAAAGCCTTTCAGATTAAACAGAAATTTACTCTTTAAAAATTTATTATGCTATCTTAAAATATGGTATTTCTATACAATTTATTGAATTATTTTAAATTCTCTTTCAGGGTTACTACAAACTTTTGGGTCGTGGACATTTGCCCAAGCAGCCTATTATTGTTAAGGCCAAATATTTCTCAAAGAAAGCCGAGGACAAAATCAAGAATGCCGGTGGTGTTTGCTTGTTGAGAGCTTAATTTTAAGGTAAATATTGAAAATTGTTTGATTAGTTTCTCAGACACAATGACGATTTAGCGAATGCGTCAGACTTTTGCTGAATGATTTTTGTCTACCATAACTGAACTGAGTTTTTTTGAAATTAAAATCTGTTTTCAATAATTAAACTTGGATTTTGCAATGGATTTTTTTATTTTTTATTTCAGGTCCTTTCCAATTTACGTGTGACCATCAAGCATGTACGGGTTTTATAAGTAATAAAAAAAAAAAAAAAATAGGAAATTTGTGTTTTTATTGGTTTATTTAATTTAATATGTTATAATGTATCTTCATACTTCATACAAAAAAAAGAATATTTTTATTTTGTACTGGTACATATTTAAAGACGCCGCATAAGTTTAGCCTATTCTGTGCAAAACCCTAAAGAATGGTTCTGTCCTTAGGGTTGTCTCTTTTTTTTATTTGAATTAAAAGTAAGTAAAGGATGATCCATGTGACATTTAAAATCTTAAATTATTAGAAAAGTCAATTAAATTTATCTCTTTATTAAACGGTATCAAAAACTAATGTTTTTACTTACATTTTTGGCAAATTTTACTTTTCACCATATCATATTTAGCAAATGTATGCACATAAAATGCTTCATAAAGTATTTTCCATACCTACTTAAATTATGTTCCATTCAATGTGGATTCCATTTCACGTGCTACTTTTAAATACAAGTTTCGTATTTCTACTCTGGCAATGCTAAGTTTTTGGCAGAACAAAAAAGAACCCAAAAAGTTTTCATCAGTTCACCGAGATTTTCACTTTCTGGTGTATTTAATTTCTGTTGACCATTTGCGCTTTATAGTTACTCAAGGGCAAAATCCAAATCAAAACCTTCAAAATATTGTCAGTGATTACCAAAAAAGGATGAAAATCGACTCTTTTGACGAGTAGGCGCAAAAAATAGCTGGAAGTGTGTGGAAGTACCGAATCAACGACGGAATCCGTCTGTATGTAAGTGTTGTGCAGCAGTTGCAAAGAGCAGTGTAGAACGGAGCGCTAGTGGAAAGAGGTAGTAAATTTATCCGCTGCGTTTGTGGGGGGGGCAAACGGTGGATGAGTATACAGCAGCAGCGACACCAACAGCAGTCATCGCAATAAAAGAAGCAGCAGGAAAAGCGCGGAGCAGTGACAAAATTGCGTCCGAAAAATGCGAAAGTAAAGAAAATGTGAAATTCCGAAATTGGAATTAGTAGCGACGACAGACAACGACAAACGAAAAAAGATCGTGGAAGGATGATAGCATGAACAAGGGAGAAAAAGTGATATAGAGTAGGAGTCAAAGACAAAATTGCAGAAAATTCAAAAAAAAAAAAAAAAATCATTGTGAAATGAACAACGAATGGAATACCATTGTTGAAGCTACAAATCGGCTACGCTAATTAACACTTTGCTTTTTCATTAAATGCAAATCTTTGCCGCGCGGCAATTGCATGCTACTGCTGTAGGTAAAAGGGGAGAAAAATACATACATACATACATAGCTGCTGTCATATATTGTTGCGCGCTTGCTTACCACATTCGCCCTTGCCTCGCCTACGTCAGAACCAAGTGAACGAACAACACTACTAATTGTGCTTTCGCGCTTTAACGCATTATTTCTGTAGAATTTTCATCGCATTTGTTGAAACGTTGCTTTGTTTGATGAAATTATGTTGAAATCGTCCTCTAATGCACAGGAACTGCGGCTGTCCCGACCAGAGAGCACAGTACCACAATCAACAATTACATCGGCAGCCGGTACCATGGACACATTGAAAACATCATTCCTACCAAATTTGGCAATGGACGGCGGAGTTATTACATCGGCTAGCTTTTGCCCGATGTGTGGGCAACAATTTGAAAGACCTCAACATGCCCAAGAGCATATGCAATTATGCCATGGCATATCTGCTGGCATGATTGGCGGCGGAGGTGTCATTGGTGGTGGCGGTGCAACTGTAGGTGTAGGTGGTCTGTTGTTGAGTGGTGTTCCACAACCAAATGCACCTGTCACTGACCCCATGAAAATCGAGTATCCCTGCATGAGTTGTGAGGAGAAATTTGGTTCAGCGCAAGAACTGGACGAACACCATCGTATAATACATCAATCAACGGCGTTCTTAGCGCGTTGTATGGCTTGTGGCATTTACGGCATTTCATCCGTTACGCTACACGAAGGTGATGAGTTTAAGTGTATGCACTGTGGCTCTGTTAGCACCGCATCAAATATGACTGCGCCTCAGCAACCACCCTATATGGATCAACCTGAACCTCCGCAAACGCCAGAGGAAATGCCTTCTATACCGCCTGAGGAAATGAATACTATACCACCGGAAGAATTGAATTCTAGGCAGAACCAACAGCAGCAGCAAAGACAACAACAGGTGCAGCAGCAGCAGCAGCAGCAGAATCAACAACAGGTGCAACAACATCAGCAGCAGCAGCAACACCAACACCAACAGCGGCAACAACAACCAGATTTGCTTGAAGGCCAGCGGCAGCCACAACCTGATTTGCTCGATCAGCAGCAACAACAGGTGCAACCGCAACAGCAGCAACAACAGCAACCGACCCCGCCACAGGCAAATCAGCAACAACAGCAAGCAACCCAATTGAAAGTACCGCCCTTAACCGTAAAACTAAATAAAAATAGCAATGGCAACACCGAAGGCCATCCACATGTGATAATCAAGGAAGAACCTCTTGGCATTAGCGATGGCAATGGTGATATAGAGCAGGCCTCAGTGCCGGTGTATACGATCCAGCAACCGGCTGGAGCTACCAGCGTTGTAGTTAGCACAGCAACTGCTACCGGCGCTGCAAATGCGACAGGCACAGCACCAGCAGCAGGCAGTACCACAACAGCCACCCCTGCAGCAGGAAACAAAGTGCGTCATAAATGTCCAGAATGTCCGAAAACCTTCAAAACGCCAGGCACATTGGCAATGCACCGCAAGATACACACAGGCGAAGCAGAGTAATCATTGCACATTCATATTATATGTTAATTTTTATAATATTTTTATTCTTGTTTATGTAGAAACGCGATGAACGAAATTTCTCATAATCGAAATTATAAAATTGATTGGTATTTTCTAAAATGCATAGAAAGGCTATTTGAAATTTCGAGCAGAGCGTATTCTGTGTGTCTTAAATGTTCAATTATTAATCTAAATGTTTTGTTTCGCCAATTGTGATATTTATTAACTAATTTTTATTCTGTTTTCTATCTGTTAACCAAAATCAAAAAAAAAAAATCGTCGTTTGCGCCCACGCAGCGTCACGCCCAAAGAACGCCCCTACACGTGCTCCTACTGCGGCAAGTCATTCACCCAATCGAACACCCTCAAACAGCACACGCGCATTCATACAGGTGAGAAACCCTTTAGATGTGGATATTGTGGCAGGCAATTCACTGTAAAGGACTACCTGAACAAACATTTAACAACTCACACGGGTGAGAGAATATAGTATATTTTGCAAAAATCAATCAACCAATCAGTCAGTCAATCAATCAGCTCAACTCAGTTCAATTCAATCAATCAGTCAAAACCACTCAAACCACAAAACCAATTAAAAATCAAACCACAAATTCAAAACCAAAAAACAATTCAAACTATTCT